GTGGTTAGCGTGTCAAGCTACCGTCCTGCACTGTGGCGGTTCGACTCCCGCTGAGGGTGTTGATAAGACCCATGCCAGGTCGAAACTGCAGTCCACTCGAGCCGGGATGAGAACAACTTTTGGGAAGGCAAGGCTATGTGAAATTCAATGGAAACGTCAGCTCCACTCATATGATTGTGTGAAAATTCTACTACCAGTCCTTCATCAGCTTAGACGAAATAGGGTGAATACATCTTATATTACTGATTTACTGGTAGTCTCGAAACTCTACTCTAATACGAAAATATCTACCTTTAAACAAGAGTAGTAAGAGTGCAAAAATGCACTGAATACAGCCGGACAAAGTAGACAATTGTATTTTAACCTTGCCATCCGACATTTTTAAGCTGTTGCCAACTTTAAGGTATCAATCCTGGATTTTGTGATCTTAATAAGGTTAATGAGATTCTTTATCAGGCCTCCCTTCAGAAGATAAACGAAGTCTATGATATGGAAAGGAATCACCAATTTAAGTTTATAGATATTAAGTCCAAGCTCCGGCATGATCGACTGGATCCTGACTACGGAAAACTTTCAAAAACTGCAGAGTACGGCCGACTTAATAACCAAAAGACACGGCAATAAATTGCTTAAGTATGGGATTACAAGACAACGTAGGTTAAAGCCAGCACGCCAAGTTTAAGGAGTTCCGAGGTGACGGCATCTACTGAGCAATACGACGACCTGAATAAGATAATAAATTTATCCTCGCTTTCTCTTGATCCCGAAACCACCACGATCCTGCAGAAAGGACTAAACATTTTTCTTCAAAATGACATAAAAATTTCAGAAGTCATTTTGGCAGAAGCCATCAATACCTCCGGCAAGTTCTCTGAGGAGACAAACGGAAAATGGAACTAGAAATAATCCCAAGAATTTTGACTCATTGTGTACCAACAGACATGAACAAATTTACGAGGATACGCAAGACGCTAGAAATGACTGAACAACTAGTCGCTCAGACGGTCAAAGGAGGGTCGACGATTGTAATAGAGAGAAAACAACATATCGAGAAGACGGAATATATTCTACGAGACAGGACTACATGTCGTATCCTAAAGAAGGACCCAACTATGAGGATCAATGGAGTCTCAAGTGACGTGTTGAAAGATAGGCATAGGAACGGGGAGATCGGTGGATGGACGATAAATTCACAAATAAAAATGATTCACGACCACCAACAGCCTACGGGTTACCGAGGTTATACAAAGAAGGAAAACCACCAAGGCTGATAGTCAAAAAGAAGTATGGAGCATACGAATGAAAAAACAGCAAAGGCTTTGCAGGAAAATTGATACCGAAAGGTCAGAAATGGCGCAACACATCGCAGAGACTGGACACGAGATTAGTTGGAAGGCAAAAGAAAGAATGGCCCCATTCGGTGAAAAGACAAAGAAACGGAAGACTAGAGACCATTGACATCGTTGCTGGAAGAAATTGGATGAAGAGTAGATTGAAAGATGCAGAATTGGTGATAACTCCGCCTATCGCCCAAGCAAACTCGGAAGAAACAGGCATTCGGCAAGACCAGCAAAAAGCAGACGTCTTGATCAGAGGCCTATCGTTAAGCGGAGGAGAAGCGGATGAGGAAGTTTAGAACAGCGAGCGAAGTCGTTCTCAGTGAAATAACAACACCAAACTAGCCAAAAAGGGCACCTCTTTTGAGGAGTGGAATGTGAACACGTCAAAGTTGTGAGGGATTGACTTTACTCTTTCACTCTTTGACGAGTTGTAGCTGGAAGTGGTGCTGAGGATGGCAAGACTCACTGGCGATGCCGGCGAAATGTCTGGGAATGTACCGAGTCCACGGTCTGTAGCTGGGAATTATGATGTCTACAAGAGTAGAGGACTTCCGAAAAGGTGCATCCACTCAAGTCGCCCAGATTACACGATCAAGTTGCGAAAACTTCTATCGAAAGTTTGCTCTCCTGTACCAAGTAAAATATCCTTTGGATACACTTGTGGAATCAATTCGCCCATCAGATAGTGCTCCTGAGGTTGATTTCTTATTTTGGTTTTATAAATAGGCTTTGAAGGCTACCAGTTAATCATATATACGATACGTATTCCTTTTGTTTCATTTAAGGTTATGAAAGATTGGTAGTTGAATTTTCCAATAATTCTTTGAGTAGACCTTTTAGGAAGCAAGGTCCATGTAAAATTCAATGGAACCGTGAGGCATATTCATATGATTGTGTGAAAATTCAACTATCACTCCTTTACCACCCTAAATGATATAGTGTGAATGCATCTCGTAACTGCTACAAGATTGTTTGCTCATAAATTCGACTTTATGGTGGTGAAGTCTATCGCATTTTGTCAGAGGATAGAGGAATATAAAATGACTGTAAATACATCTTGGTCCAAAAATCAGAAGTGGTTGAATGTAGTTTAGAAATTGAACAGGATGGAATGGTTCCAGACGTATACATCTGCTACTAAACGCAGGATTGAAATTAATAAATTAAGGAATAACTTGAAGGTAAGTCAAGTAAAATCTACCTGCGCCTGAATGCTAGGCTAACGAAAGAAGATGTTGAGCCATTGAGCCATTGATTCACTGGTCAGCTTAGTGATGATTCTAACCACATTCCTATTCTTCCAACAATGCTGTTAGGCTCATCAACCCAAGTAGACAAACGGGATACGCAATACCGATTGTACTGTTCCTTGTGTCTTCTAACCTTGATGAACCTGGACTGACAAGACTTATTTTCGAGCATACAGAATCCCAATCATGATTTAATGTGGACTGTTAAAACTACAATACGGGATTTCTTGTAATTGCTCTGGCATCTAGGACTCCAAATTACGTGTTGATAAGTTAAAATTAACACACACTTCGGAAATAAGCACGATGATTAGCATAAGGAGGAACTAACTAAATTATTTTATAAATTTTTATCTATTTGTATATGTTCGTTTTTAGTTGTAAATATGTACAGCATATAGGATATAAGCAGCTAGTCTTTTTGGAGTTGGTGTTAGCTCGAAGCTTTTACCAAAATAAGTTTCAGCTCTCACGACGTCTGTGCATTGGCATGACAGACGAAATCAAACCCAAAACGCGGGGGCATGTTTTGTCGGCTGTGCCAACTTGAACGCAGAACAACGAGAATCGGACGTCGTCTTCTGGTGAGATCAACGTAGGAATCTCTTCATCGAATACTATCACACGAAATACCAGTCAAAAGCGGCACCATTTTGCCTGATTCGAATTAGAAGACAAATCGAGCCTCAACCTAGAGCCAGCGGTGTCGGAGGATAAAATGTTAGCCCATCTTACAACGCCATCTACAAGGCTGAGGTCTATTTTAAGTTAAGGCATCCTTCAACTTGAATGCGATTCGTCATGTAAAGGGCAGATAAGTATCTTCTAATTAATCAGTAATTGATCAGCGATAAGTAAATTAGATATAAAAGTTGTGTTCATTCTATTTTATTTAAGATGATGAAGGACTGGTATTTGATTTTTCCCACAATGATATGAATTGGGCTGATGACTTCCATTGAACTTCACAAAAGACAAAAGTGGAATCCAGCTTCAACCTCACCTCGTCTGGGTCCTATCAACACCTCCAGCGGGAGTCGAACCGTGACAATGCAGCGTGTAAGCTCGACACGGTAACCAAGGCTATGTGAAATGCAATGAAAAACATAAGTTCTACTCATATCATTGTGGGAAAATTCAACTACTAATCCTTCCTTACCTTAAACGAAATATGGTGGACACAACTAACATATCTGATTTACTGGTAGTCTCGAAAAACTAACCACTAACGAAAAAAGTAACGTCGTTGATTACTATAGCAAATACAAGTTTGCTTCATCGACAATCCCAACACAGAATGTGATATGGAAAATGCCTAACCTTCCTTGAAATTTACGTCTTTCCTGTGACCCAAGCGCAATTGTGACAATGTGGCGAAGTGGTTAACGTGTCAAACTTACTCGCTGCACTGTCATAGTTCGACTTCCGCTTGTGGTCGAAACGGCAATCCAACCCGGACAAGAACAGCTTTTGGGAAAGCAAGACGATGTGAAATTCGAAGAAAGGTCGCTTACTGTAACTATCAGTCGCTTTATTATCTTAAGGGAAATATGGTGAATACATTCCATACAAGCGAGCATTGTCACTAAATTCGACAATAGTACTATTTTTGTGATCAAACTCCGAATTACGTTCTTCTATCTGCTACGATGTAAGAATATGTAAACTGATCACGGAAAGGATACGAATAATAACTGTGTTTCGATGAATCTCTTAAGATAAGATTGTTGGGAAGACTTTCATTTGGTATGAAAGTGCATGATTAAGAGATTCATAGTAAAGTACAACAAAAATCGGTCGTCTGCTTCTGATAATCCCGGCCTTCGAATCTCTTCATCATGTACTTTCATAATAAATGAGTCTCCCAAACATAGAAAAGAAACCGAGTCACAAAGTAGCTAGTAAAGATCAGTATGAGATACAAGGATGTCAGAGAGAAATCAGGTATCATGTGCTTCGTAGTGTAACTCTGCGTTTTACCTGGCTTCTTTGTGTGAATAAATATTTGTTTGGCCCCTTGACGATGGTTTGGTCTGAAGTGATCAATCATGTAAAGTGAATGGGAAAACTGGTGCGTTCATGAGCCATGAGGAAAGCGAACTTTTTTGTGAGATAATAAAGAGTTATGAACTGGATGCGATGTTCTGCTAATAGTTTAAGTGAGGATTGAAAGAGATGAGTCACTACCCCGTA